AGCAGTCCTGGCTAACTGGGGAGGTCCCAGTTGACTGGAGGTTCTCAAATATGAGACCCACAGAAACAAGAACCATGGAAGCCCTCGAAGGGCAGAGACCGGAGGCGGGGACCGGCCTATAAAAGACACAACTCCGTGGAGCCACGTGCACACCCACCGCCGAGGATCACCACATTTACCATCGACATCGTGGAATCCAAGGGTGGTGAGATCTAGTGATCCCTCTCCCCCTCCCTCTTCTTTCTTCTTTTTCCTTTCCTCTTATAAGTATTTCAGTTAGAACCCACATTGCCTATCATTGCGCTTCCTAGTTGAGGTTGCCTACTGTCACGCTTTCCAAGTTCAGGTTGTTTTTTACCATCAATAAAGTGTTTAATCGGTTGGTTGGTGTCATTTCGCTTTAATTTAGCCCAAGAGAATTGCATAACCGCCACGATCCTCCCTAGGCAGCCCAGTTTGGATCGTGACATAAGTTGGCATCGTGGACAGGATTCCCTTGCTGGTGCTTTAGCACCTGGCCTTTACCGCGAGTCATTATGGCCTCCCTGGGAGGTCTGGTTGTAGACTGTGCCCCTCTCCTGGAGAGACTGGAGGGCTGTAACACCCGACCTTCTCCCTCTGGGGTGACTTGGGCCCATAACAATTGGCACAACCCACAAGCAGTAGTGGACAGAATCTCCACCTTGGCTAAGGAACGGAGACTGAGGCTTGGAAAGGGGAAAGCATTAGTATGTGCCATTTTGGGAGCTGCTCTGGTGGCAGCACAGTGGGATAAACATTTAACACAATAAGCAGAAGAGGAAACGATAAAATCCCTTCAAGATCTGGTGAAGGCTTTACAGGAACAATTAGAAAATGAAATGAGAAGCCTTTCTGATCAGCTCACTGCTGAGCAGATGACTAACCAAAGATTACATGCCGCTTTGGCAGAGGCTTTGGAGCAGGAGAGAATACTAAGGGGGCAATTAGATGAAACCTGTTCCCACATTGGTGTAGAAGATATGGATGCAAACTCTGGCAAAGGAAAAGAGTCGGAGTTGCTGTACCCTCTTAAAGACCTAGAGATGTATTCCTCTGGAAGGAATGAACCCAAAATGCGACCTCCAATTAAGACCGAGACTATAAATGGTGGTCAAGGAGGACCTCAACAAGTTACCACCTATACCGTTCCCTATTCCTCTACTGATTTGGCTAAAATTCAGGGAAAATATTCCCAGGGACCCCGAGAAACAGAAACCGAATACGTATGGAGAGTATCTCTTACCGGGGGTGACTGGATCTTGCTGAGTGAGGATAAGGCAAGAGAGTATTGGGGACCAGGGGTTTTTATAACCACAAATGATAATAGAGAGCTAGTCCCTGACCCAAAGAGTAGCATATTGGGCAGGTGGATTAGATCCTATGGAAAGGGGAAACCCCTTCGCAATTAAAATGCCTACGGTGGGCCACATTTTAGAGAGCGTACAGAAAACTGCGTATCTCCAGTTGATGCATAATCGATTACTGGTTCCGCAGCAGCCCTCCCCCATGCAATATGCAGCAGACTCTGAAAGGTCTTTCATCCTCTTATAAGGGGACTACCCAATGTCTTGAAATTATATGCAGTACAACTACAAGACTGGTTGAGAACACCCCAACCCCGGCAAAGGGAAGGCCCCCCACACATGACATGGGGGGAAGTAGCACAGGAGTTAGTTAATTGTGGGAGACAAATGGGATTTACTGGCCAGGGGGAGACCAAATGCAAGGCGGATCTTAAGTGGGTGGAAGGGAATGGGGCAACAAGCTCCCCCACGCAATCCTCGATGACCCGA